TTCTTCTGATTTTTCATCGGTGAGATGTTCTATTGACGTCAGTTGCTGGATGTGATCTGCTCTGGATTCGAATTAATTGAAGTTTGAACTCTTTTCTGGATTTGGATTGTCTCAACTTCCATCGGTGCGTGTCTAATTGTGGAGTTGGACTGGCGAGCCTCCCATTGAGTGGATTCTTTGGATACACCTGTTGAAAAGATACAAAGTAAAACCTATTCAGCGTCATGGTAGGAGTGTAAATTTACAACACACCACAAGTGCAACATCCTGGATCTCTGGAACTGAATTTGCAACCTAGTTGTTTTGCAAAAGAATCTTTTTGAAAGTTTATCACCTTTACTGGACTTTTGGAACATTTTGAAATGTTTTAAGTGAATGTTTTATTTTCATTTTTATTTTATTTGTACATTGTTCCTTTAGAGTGTTCATTCGTTGCAATTTTTGAATCTTTATAGAGAGAGGTTAACTGGTTTAAGAAGGGAAATGTTGATTATATGTTAAATAATAATACAATTTTAATATTGTATTATTAACTTACACTTGCAAACCTTTAATATAGTACTGTTATTAGCATATTAATATTATATTATTGTTATGATAGTAACCAAAATATAATATTAGCCTTAACAATAGAAAAAACAGAAAAATAACAATATTAACTTACCTTATTAGTGATATAGCCTGTGAAGAAAGAGAAGTGTTATTAGAGAGTGTAAATAAGATTGAGGTCATAAGATACGTGTGAAAAAAAACCTAGAATTTGTTTTATTTATTTTTATTTTTATTTTTTTTTATATTTCTGTGAACATTTTACAATACAATCTTTTATTATTCTTACCTCTGTGTCCGAGTCCTTCACTGTTGTTGTATCTTCTCTCTCTTTGGAGGAATTTAGACTTCTGAGCATCTGGTCCATTGATTAAAAGCTTATAATACATTTGTGTATCAAGGGTTACATGCAGCATTCTGCGTTATAGACATTTAAAAAAACAGCAGTCGAACAGACAAGCTAATTATTAAACTTGTGTTTTAATATAATGAATAAAATTACCTTCGATTTTTTGTTTTTTTAGCTGCTCAATTGGTGAGTTATATATTTAAAAATGGTAATATTATTCAAACACGACAAAATATATATTTGCTGAGTTATTAAAATACAGAATAATTTATATTGTAATAAATAAATTTTAAAAGGGCCATGAAATCTCCCTGTCTCTGCAGGGTATTTTCACACTGTTTAAAAAAAAGCCAGGCAAGTGGGTGAGTCCAGCTTTGTTTAGGTGTGAGTGTCGAGTCGCCAAAGAGGGAATGGTTTGCATGAAAAGAGGAGTTTCAGTTCGAGCACACGCTGATTTTCACAGAGGCAAAACAACACAGATGCAGGGGAGAAAGACAGTCACTACGTTTACATGGACATCAGTAATAGAATTATTCGCCAAATTCTTAATTTGTCCACTATAACTGCAGTTTGGCACTTTCAATTTCATTCAGTTACATTTCATGCATGCCCCCCGTCAGGCACATGCACACATAGGGCTCAACCTGTGCAGTGCACATGCCCTTTTTAATCTTAAATAGAAAGTGCCCTTCCAAAATGATCAAAAGTGCCCCCGCGACACCCCCCCCCCCTCACGCCCTTCAGTAGGCGTGCGACAACACCGTTCGTGAGTACGCGCCCCCCACTTTACAGTACGCACGCGACAACACCGCTAATTAGAACGCGCGCGACAACACCGCACTTCAGAACGCGCGCGACAACACTGCACTTCAGAACGCGCGCGA